ATCGACATCAACAACCGTTCGTCGACCGATACCCTTCATCCGACATCGATTGATATATCTCACCTTAAATCGATCGATACTAACCAGTGAGACATGGTAGCGCCTATTATTCTCACAACCAATGAGAATGGAGACCTGCCTGATCAATACAGTCACCTGCGTAATGCAGCAGGTCAGAAGCTGAACGCTCAGAAGAAGATCATACCTGAGCAAGAAACTGCACCTACATACATCATTCAACCTGTAGAAGAGGCTAACCAAGCTAGATTGGTTGACTACAACCGTCCAGATCAGTTCTATTCCAACCGATCAGCCATCCGCCCTCCTGCTATTCAGAGAGGAGTATTCGAGCTTAAGCCGCAGTACTACACACTTGTAGGACAAATACCCTTTTGTGGGTTGTCCCATGAGCATCCTATGGACCATCTGGAGAGGTTCGAGGATCTCATAACCATCATAAAAGCCAATGGAGTCCCTCAAGACTATCTTCTTTGTAAGCTTTTCAAATACTCTCTATCTGGAGAAGCTTTGCAGTGGCTAAGGCAACTACCACCAGGTTCTCTCACAACCTGGAGCGACATCAAAAACGCATTCCTGCGTAATTTTTTTGATGAGTCACGTGCTGAAGAGTGGTGAAGAAAGATTGCTACATTCACTCAGAATCCTGAAGAGTCATTCAAAGATGCATGGAACAGATTCAAGTCCTACCAACGAGATTGCCCACACCACGGATTCAACAAAGTGTAACTGCTATGCACCTTCTACAGAGGCATCACCTTGGATTATCAAAGGGCTCTTGATACAGCTAGTGACGGCAACTTCAACACCAGGAGTCCAAAAGAGGCTGTGAATTTAATTGATAACTTAGCATCCAGCGACAGCACAAAAAACTTTGTGAAGACAAAAGGTACACCATTCCTTGGGAAGGAATACATCAATGAAGTGCAAGCACAGCTGGATACCGTTCAGAAGTTACTAAACAAGCAGATTTGTTCAGTGGAGGATGCAGACACTGCGGGTGAAGATTATACAGAAGAAGATGTGAACTGGGTCAGTGGAGCTGGTTTTCAGAGATCTGGTAACCAAGGAGGATACAGAAACTTCACAGGCCATAGAAGCAACTTCAACCAGAGCTCACAGAAGCCTAACACCTTCAGCAGCAGTAACCCCAACAACAACAGGAGCTATGGGAACTCATTCTACTCCAACCCACACCCACCCACCCAAGACAGTAAACTGGAGGAGATGCTAGACAAGGTTCTTGAGAGTGAGCAGAAACTCCAGACAGACTTCAATGGAAAGATTGACTCCGTCTACAACACCCTCACCACAAAGCTAGATGCTTTAAATACCCATGTGAAGAAGCTAGAGAATCAGGTGTTTCAGACAGGAGAAGCCCTAAAGAAACAGAAGTTTGCCAACAACCATAACATCAATGCCATCCTGGATGATGATTTTTGGAAAGAGGTAGTAGAAGAGATTCAAAGATCTGATGATGAGAGAGACTTCGTTCGCGACTATTATCGATCGATTTCATCCCGTGAACATCTACCGATGCGATCCAGAGTACATCGATCGATAAACTTTGATAAGTGTCGAGCGATGGACTTAGACGAATACCCTCACGAGTGCAGTACCGTCAAGACTATCCCTCACGAAGCTTTCGCAGCACGACACCCACATCCGCCCATCCCTGTCAAAATAGATCTGCATGACATCAATTGACATGATGACCCTCTCATCAATCGACAGGAAGACCTTGATATCAACCGACGCACTCCAGTCAGTGTCGCCCGATACACGGTATCCCAACGCCGAGTGCAACTTCCCAAGATAAATAGTGCACGTATTGACGCATTCCGGGAGCAGTATTACACTTCCAGAAGCCCTCAAAAAGCCATCATGGAGAGACCCACAGATATATTTGAGTCTATGGAGATAGAAAACGAAAATCATGGAAGAGTTCTCAGAAAAAGGAAAGAGAAGATACCCAAGCCTTATAAAAGGGAAGCTAATGAGAAATAATTGTCAAGCTTCAGAAAGAGAGTTCTAAGAATACCTAGAGAGAAACCCTTTGAAGAAGCCTACTTTTCACACAGATTGTGGATGTTTTTCAGAGAGACCAGAGAGACAGAAGAAGACATCAAGAGAATGTTTCACCAAGTCAGAGACAGTCTAAAGAAAAAGATCACACTAGAGAAGAAGAGCGATCCAGGGAAGTTCACAATACCATGTTCCATCAAAGGTGTTGGCTTCCTTTGTGCTCTATGCGATACAGGATCTGGAGTTAGCATCCTACCAAAGCTTATGGCAGACCAGCTAGGTCTGAAGATAGAAACTACTGAAGAATCTTTCATCTTTGTGGATTGTTCTCAGCAGAACTCTGGAGGATTAGTTAGAAACCTTGAGGTACAGATTGGAGATGCCCTCATTCCTACAGACTTCCATGTCCTGGCCAACAAACTCAACTTCAAGACTTCTCTATTACTTGGAAGAGCCTTCTTAGCCACAGTTGGAGTTGTTTGTGACCTGAAATCCAACAAGCTCTGCCTAACCCTTATCAACCCTACCATCCACTACAATCATGTTCCAGTCATCAAGTTTCCAAGAATAAAGAGCCCAGCACTCGTAGCAACTTGTTTCTGTGCCCACGAGTATGATTCCATGGCCAAGTACGAAACCAATTCATCAGTATCGACCGATGACAGTCTTCTACCATCAACCGATACCAGTCGACCGATAGACACACATGGTCATCAATCGATAAGGCATTCCAACAGATCGAGGAAGAGTTACCAGATGGCGATTTTAGCGCAGATGATTGGGAAAACGATCATTACATGCCAGAGCTAGCTAGCATCACTACTCAGGAGGGAGTATGATGAAGATTATGAAGAGGAACGAGCCACAGAGTTTAGATTTCTTCGAGAAGATGAAGTACAACTTCCTCTCCCATCCTTCATCTTCTGAGCATCGAACAATAGAGACCCTTCTCCATCGACCGATATGCCCCAACCCAGATCGCTCAAACGACGTTTCGAATCAACGAGCGACAACCCCTATTGTGCACCAGTCTATGTCCCACATGAGCCACATGACGGAGATTACTCGATAGGGAGTTGGGCAAGCAGTTACCATGAGAGTTTTGCAGTGGATACAGCACCACTACCATCTGCGATCCGACCTGAAGAACATTATCGACCGACACGGAGCACCAACCATCGATCGACATGTTCCTCAACATATCGACCGATGCACCTACTATCCCATCGATCGATACCACAACTACACCATCCGAGGTAAAACACACATAATCTCGATTTTACATTACTAACTCCGGATGAATTTGGTATTTTCAGGGATCCTGAAGGCCATGCACGAGCACTAGATGGAAGAATCATTCCAATTTCCAAAGAAGACGTTGCAGACATCCTTCAGATGGCCGATGGACCAGTCAGTCCCTACACACAACCACCCATCTACCAGAACAATTAGCACCAGCAACAAACACATCATGAGCAAGATGATGCAGAAAACCTTCATCTCAACTCAGCAAATCCATAATTTCAACGAGCATCGACCGATACATGGCGACGTGCATCGACTGATATACATCTCGAGTTTAGGAAGAGAGCTTTTAAAAACGGAATTTGTCGTTTCTTCTGGGAAAAGAAGGACGAATATGGAGTTTACAGAGATGAGCATGGTAATGCAAGAAGCATAGCTGGAGATATCATCCATGTTTCCAAAGAAGATATTGAGACGCTGCTGAATAGAGCCACACTGTTTGGGCGCTCTTGTTTCTGTCTACCAGAACACGCTGAACAGTTTGCTAAAGGAGTTTCAGTCTGCAAGCCCTACACACAAGCAGAAGTCACATACATGCTGAATGGAAGAACCGGTGAACACAACTGGGAGATGGCAGCATTGAGGTTTGAACATGAGAAATCCATAGCATCACTTCAAGGAGAACATGTCGAATCAATTTACAAAAAATAAAAAAAAATATTTAGTAAAGAAGAAAATCTTTAAAAAAATACAATAGCACAAAAGTGATATTATAAAATATTTTGAGGTTTAAAATAAGAACAAATATTTTAGTAAGATGGTATTAAAACACAAATAAGAAAACTAATGGGGAAGTTAGAACCGAAACGAAAAAAAAAACTAAAACCAAAACCATACTAAAATTTGGAAAAACCCAAACAATTACTATTTCTCAAACCGAAAACCAAAACTAAAATCAGAACTGCACCGATAACCGAACAAGTATCCAAATATGTGAAATATATAATAAAAATATTAATTATCATATTATATAATATAATCTATGTATTATAATATGCAAAATCCTTAATTACCTAAAATATCCTTTTGAATTTTAGGGTTTAATTCGATTTAAAAAGTTTTTGAGATTTATGGCTTTAACATGACTTCAACTATTTATAATTCGGTTTCATTTCAGGTTTTACAAAAAATTATAAATGCAAACCGAATCTAACATTATTCGAAAGAACTGATCTGGAAAATGTATGGTTCCTACACGAATCTTAAACACCCAAACCCAAATAACTCGAAAAAATATAAATACAAACCTAATCCAACATTAATTAAACTAAACCGATCCAAAAAATATAACGGTACCTAAACATCCTACATGAATTACTATAAAACAACAATATAAATTACTTTTAATTATAGACGTCAAAATTCAAATATTAAAACTAAAATAATTGTAAAAATTATTAAATTAGAAAAATTAACCAAAATTTATTCCACGCTTTGAAAACGTGGATCAAAATCTAGTGCTCCCATTAAAATCCATTTGCGTATTTTGTTATTTTGTTATTTCGATTTGAATTCTAATTTGGATTTTTGAATTGGATTCAGATTCGAGTAAAATGCCCAGGATTATAACGATAGCGTAAAAGCCTTTTTCGAACGGCAACAACGAAAAAGCTAGAACCGTCTTAATTAATTTTATATTTATTTCTTAAAACATTGTAGAATCTTCAGGTGGGGAATCGTAGAACAGAGAATGAATCTCTTCTAACGATTTTCCTTTCGTCTCCGGAACAAGCTTGGCTGTGAACACAATTCCAAGGCACATCACTGTGGCAAAGATGATAAATGTTCCTGCAATAAATTTTATTTTCTCAGTTAATGAGGAAGATTGTTCTTTTTAGTTAGTTAATAATAAACATGAAAGATTAACAACCTGTGGAACTCCACTGAAGCAAGAAATTGAAGAAGTATGTAACGATCCATGAGCTTATAGACGTGACCAAGTTACACACTGTTCCTGCCGCTCCCTTCACGTCTACTGGATAAATCTAACAAAGAAATGAAAAAGAGCATTTTATTTCTCAATAAATGAATTAACATTGAGATATCTGTGATTAATTCTAAAAGGTTCCTTTAATTTACCTCTGATGCTACGATCCATGGTAGAGGTCCCATGCCTAATCCGTATGATGCAAAATATACCTAATGTACACGGAAACACATAAATTTTACCTAGGCATTATTTAAAATAATAATGTTGTTAATAAAATTACTTAGTTTATGTATTAGAGCATCTCCAACCCCCACTCCATAATTTACTGCAAAATGGAGTGGGAAATGGAGGGATGAACAAACAAAAAAGGGATTACTCCTAATGAGTTTTTTTGTTTGTTCATTACTCCATTTCCCACTCCATTTTGCAGTAAATTATGGAGTGTGGTCGGAGATGCTCTTACCATAACACTAATGAGAGCCAAGATAGGCGTTCCTGTTTCCCAGAAATTGTTCTTCTGCAGAGTAGCAAAGCCATATTTCTTACATTATATCAAACAAGCTGTTTAGTAGAGTAGATAAAGTATAGTAAGCATGCCTGCAAGATGAATGAAATGGCCGTTGCAAGACAACCCAAGAACATTCCAGCTTGAGAAACCTACAGTCACTCACAAAATTAACTCTATGTTTTCATCAAAACCCCAATCAAAATAACCTATCAATTTCGGTTATTTAGACTATAAAATGGATAAAAAAAAAGACTATAAAATTGTATTTTACCAGTAAAAGCGAACGTCTGCCGGATACATCCACAAGCACAGTACCTAAAATGCCTCCAACCATCTACAAGAATGTGTTTTTGAAAGGACTGTTAAGACAATGTTTCACTGTAAAAAATTAGGAAAAACAGTCATGTTCTTTGATCTTATAACAGTAAAAACCTGAATGATGGATGTCGATATGAATCCAACGTCACTAGATACACCTGAATAGATCAGATAATTATTGACTGTTCGATGAAGCAAGATCACAGAAGAAGAAACAAGGTTTTATCTACCGGTAGAGGTGAAAATGGAGTCAGTGTAGAACGTATAAGCATTAAGACCTCCAAGCTGAGGCAATGCTATAAGAACTATACCAATCTGTGTAAACCAATTGATTAGCTAATCAAGAAAACGGAGAAAACAACTATGTGTTTCAAAGTTTGTTTTCTCTCTGTTTTGAAAGAGTTAAACTTACAGTAAGTGACAACGCGTATTTTCTCTGAAACAGCTTGAAGAAACCATGGGCGTTGACGTCTTCTTGTTGTTTAACATGTTGTGTATATTCCTGTTGTAATATCAATGTAAGAAACGATATATGTAAATCATATGATTATTAATTCATATTTATATGTATATATATATATATTCATATATTACTATCTTCGTAGTTCTTACTACTATCTCTCTTGCTTCATCTGATACATCCGATTTTGGTCCTCGTAGGCTTAACAAAACAGCCTCGACCTCCTTTGCCCTCCCTACTTTAGCCTATGATGACATATTTATAATTCTGTTAAACAGAAGCTAAAGTGTAAAACATAAAATGTTATGTTGTTATTTTATAATTTCCAAAAGACATTTGACAAAAGTAATAAAATGTTTATCTTTCTCTGAAGGTGAAATAAGAATCCAAAATGTAAAACAGATTTGTTTTGCTTTTAAAATAATCATGGGCTTACTAGCCATCTTGGGGATTCAGGAATGAAGAAAAGAAGAGGCACAATCATAAGACAAGGTATAGCGCCTGTCCAAATACCGCACCATTAGTACAACATTTTATTTTTCCTTTTATGGAAATAAAGAACGGTATGCATTTTGCATTGAATAAGAATTGAGATCTTTTTACATACCCAAAATGGCTAAATCACGCCAAGCAACGATTGTTCCAAGTGCATAGAGGACGGATATACCAACACCAACAGATAACTGAAGAACATAAAAACATACATTTTTAGTATTATAGATTCAAGATTTTTGTTCTCTTGATTTACCTGAGACAAGGAGGAAGCAGCTCCTCGCAAATGTCTTGGTGCTATTTCGGTGATGTAAACCGGTCCCTAAGATTTAACGATTATCAGATTATATGATTCATTACAAAAATTTCATACCAAATGAACCTACAACACATATATCCACAAAACATTTAGAATTTACCAGATTAATAAATCAAAAACCAAAACCTTAGATTTACAAGAAAAAAATAATATATATATATACACATATGCCCACCTCTAAATCAAAATCTCAAACCAGAAACATAAAACAACACTAAATCAAACCAAACAAATTTGGTTAAACACCTCTAGTTTTATCCATTCATACCAAATATGAGCTGATGCCGAGCGAGATCCCTTGCAAAAACCGTCCTATATCAAGCAGCCAGACACCCTATATATGTTCAAAGGAATTAAAGAACAGAAATAAAAATGAGATTTATAAGGAATTATAATAATTTAACAACTTAAAACAAATTAAAAATATATATTAAACACAGAAAATAGCGAACCTTGGCAAATGCAATTGCGAACCAGCCAACTATGATGAGGATGTTTGTAATCCATATTGTCTGATTCAAGAAGAAAATCACAGCGATGATTATACGCATGACTCAATACAGTTTGTAGTGATAAATAGATTTTCCTTAAAAAAAAAATTTTTAAAAAGAGAGATTTTCCTTAACTGGAGACTTACGTTAACACGACCAACCAAATCTGTTAATTTCCCACAGATTAATGCTCCAAGAATTAGTCCCACAGTCAATATCGATCCAAAAAGTGAATACTGAGCAGAAACAAAATAATAATAACAAGCTGAAAATTATCTTAACCAAAAACAGATAACCAGGAAATAAACCGAAAACAGACAAAATTGGACTTACATCAGGTATGGATAGATTCAAGTCTTTCATGATATTGGACTGTGTGGGAGCCGTGTATCCAACCTGTGATTAAAAACAAAACATAAAAGACTGATTAAAATAAAACATGTATGAACTCATTTTCGATTTCAATCCGGAAAGTAAAGAAAATCAAGAAATAAGAATTGAATTTGGGAATCGTTAACGGCTACTTTCTCTCTCTAAAATTAAAGCGATTTTCAAGGCGACAAGGCTTCTCAGCCCTCGATCCGCCGTCGGTGAGCACCACGCTCTCCGGCGAGAACTCTCTGTCTCCTTCCTTCTGTCACTGTTCGAGCTTCTTTCATGTCGAGATGCTTGCCAAGAAAAAAAAGAAACCTCGTCCGTCTCTTGCCCTGTCCTTCAAGTCCTTCCGACTAGCGCATCCGTCCTCTTCTGGTCGTGGTATGGCAAAGAAGAAGAACAAGTCGATCTCTCTCACCGATCTGGGTGTAGCTGCTATTGGGTCTTCGACCCTTTCGACTTTTTCTCCTCCGATTGCTGATTCCATGATTCTTGGATCCGCTCTTCTGGGTAACTCTGGATCTACTCTTCTGGGTAATTCTGGTTCTGCTAGCTCTCTGTTTCAGACGAAGGAGGCTTCTCCTTCTAGCGTGTTGGTTGTTTCTCCTCCTGCGAAGGAGGTTGTGTATCTCACTAGTGGTTCTGGATCTGATTTACTTGGCTCCAAATCTGCGGCTCCTTTGCAAGTCTCCGGCTCAACTGCGGGAGAAGGTCCTTCCCCTGAGAAAAATTACGCCGATTTGCTCAAAAGCTCGGCTCAATTGCAAGAATTGGGGTCCCCAACGGAACATGTCTCCGGTGTTCCGTTTGTTCTTATTCCAGACGAGAATATAGAGGCTGCTAAACTGGAATTCAAAGATTTCATATATGCTCGCTTCCATGGAGATTCTCCTTCAATGGGAAAGATTATTGGAGTGGTCAATGCGGTGTGGGCAAGAGTTGGCCCTCGGATCTTTGTCCATAATATTGGACAAGGTATGTATCTCCTCAGAGTCACCAATCCCAGGACTCGTGAGGTTCTGTTGTCTCGGACCTGTTGGAATATAGGTGGGTTACCTATGTTTGTGGCTCCCTGGTCCCCTGACTACTCACCGGACGAGCCTCCACTTACAAGTGCTATAGTTCCAGTGGAGTTGCGCAACGTTCCGTATCTTTTGTATAATAAGGAAAGCTTGAGTCGCATTGCTACAGCTGTCGGGAAACCTGAGTCGTTAGCTCCTGAAACTGAGCGTAAGGAAAATTTCCAAGTTGCGAAGTTGTTTGTAAGAGTCGATCTTACTGCTCCGTTGCCTCACCGAATTGTCTCTGGGTTCTCCAATGGTAGAGAAGTTCAGATTGAGGTCTCCTACCCTTGGTTACCTGTTAAGTGTGTTGCTTGCAATCGATTTGGCCACAAGGCTGATAGGTGCACCGTTGGGGCTTCGGAGGGTTCAACGGGCCAGATGAGTACTCGGACTTTCATTGAAGAACCGAGTAGGAGAAGGTCGAAGTCTCGTCCAGGTCGTTCGAGAGATAAGCTGGGAAAGAAGACGGTATCTCGCTATGTTCCTGTGGCTCATGCTAATACCGAAGGGGTTACTGATATTCCTGATGGGGAAAAAGATTCAGACACTCCTCCACCGCCCAACAATGAGACAAGAACTGTAACGTCTACTACCACGCAGTCACCTACGGTTTCTGCAGAGAATTTGGTTCTCAATGGTGAAGCTGATACTAAGGCTGAGCCTCCTCATGGTAGCAAATTTGAAGTTCTAGAAGAAGGGGAAATTCGTCAGGAAAATCATATTAATGGTGAAGTTGGGGTTGCTCATAGTACTACTATTATGGTTGCTAATCGTTTTGCCAGCCTTGCAGATCCTGATCAGGCTCCAGAGGATACCTCAGCGGATGCTCCTGAGGTTAATACTTCGGAGGCGATGGGTTCTTTATCGTTACCAAGGTCGGATGCTGCAGGGTTTGATCAGGCACCAGAGACTGCAGTAGCAGATGTGCTGGTTACAGTTTCTTCTGTGGATTTAGAGGTTGCTAAGGATGGGAGCCTTCTGTCTGCCACCGGTATAGACCCTACTCAGTCTGCAGCTTCAGAATCTACAGTGACTGATGTTACAAGCGACCAGAAAAAGAGTGAATTGCCACCTGAACTTGCAACAAACTTCGTTGGTATAAATCAGACTGCACCAGCGGACACGAAGCTAAACCAGGGAGCTTACATTCATTCTTCTGAGGATCAAGACAAACCTTTTTTCCTGCCTAAAAACAGGAGGAGTGGCCGCAAGGTCACCAGACACCATTAATATCAGTAATTATGAGTTTTTTTGCGTGGAATGTTCGTGGACTGAATAGTGAAAGACGCCACACCATGACCAAGGATTGGATTAATATCCACAGGCCACTTTTTGGAGCTTTTTTGGAGACTCACATTTTGGAGAGCAATAAAGAGAGAATTTTAGGAGCTATCCCAAGAGGATGGAACTATACGGGGAATTTTGAAGCAGAAAACTCTGGACGTATTATCATTGTTTGGGATCCTACGGTTAATCTGCTTGTCTACGAAGCAACAGCTCAATCAGTCACTTGCGGAGTCACGGTACTGTCACAAAACATTACGTTTACGGTCACCTTTGTCTACGCCTTCAATTTGCTCGAGGATCGCTCTCCTCTTTGGATAAACTTGGCAGAGTTACATGACTCTACTCCTGTGTCGGTTCACCCGTGGTGTGTTCTAGGAGACTTCAATCAGATGCTGCGATCTTCTCATCATTCAAAGCACCTTTCTCTGCGTATTGATGATTCTGGTATGGATGAAGCTAATCTTGGGCTGCAGGATGCTCAGTTATTCGAAGCTCAAGCTAAAGGACTGCCGTACACTTGGAGAAATTGCCAGGATGACAATCCTATTTCTACGAAGATTGATCATGCTTTCATTAATCAGTCGTGGTCTTCTTCGTTTCCAGACTCTTTTGCGGACTTCCTTGAGCCCTCCCAATCCGATCATACCCCTTGCCTGTTCCGTATGCCAGCTTTAAGACGTCAGGTTGTGAAACCGTTTAAATTCTTTCATCATGTTATTGATCATCCGGATTATGCCGACATTGTTCAGGGGGCGTGGAATTGTGGCCAGTTTACGGGTACTGATCAGTATAAATTGGTTCGCTCTCTTAAGATCTTAAAGAGGCCTATCCGTAGTCTTAATAAGCGACACTACAGCGGTATCTCCCAAAGGGTTAAGGCTCAGAAGGAAATTGTCGATGGATTACAACGCAATCTGCTCACCTCGCCTAATGTCTCTACTGCTCATGAGGAGCATCTTGAGCGCGACAAATTGAACACTCTACTTAAGGCTGAGGAGAAGTACTACAGGCAAAGATCTCGGGTCAGATGGGCTGATGTTGGTGATCGTAATACGCCTTTCTACCACAGGATGGTGTCTCATCATGCGTCTAGAAATCATATTCATTTTCTTAAAGATGACAATGATAACTTGTTGTATGCTGTGGATGATGTTAAGGCGCATGCCGCAAGTTATTTTCAGGGGATACTTGGTACCACTGATCTACCTATCTCTTCTACCACCACAGATGAGTTACAAAGTTTGCTGCCGTTTCGCTGTTCTGATCTGCAACAGAGTTATTTAAAGCGTCCTGTCTCTGCTGCCGAAATCAAAGCAACTCTGTTTTCCATGCCATTAAATAAGAGCCCTGGTCCTGATGGTTACTCGGTGGAGTTCTTTAGGGCTTCTTGGGACACTGTTGGAGAAGACGTTATTAATGGTGTCAGTGAGTTTTTCAGAAATGGCCGGTTACTCAAGGACATGAATACGACAGCAATAGCTTTAATTCCTAAAAAGCCTCAAGCTTCTTCGCTGGCGGATTTCAGACCCATCAGCTGCTGCAATACTATCTATAAGTTAATCTCCAAAATTATTGCCAACCGTCTCAAGCCTATTCTCTCTAAGTGTGTTAGTCCTAATCAAGCGGCTTTTTTGAAAGGCCGTAGCCTAGGGGAGAATGTTCTTTTAGCAACGGAGTTGATCAAGGATTACAATAAAGCTTCTTGTCTCAAGAGTGCTATGCTCAAAATAGATATTCGCAAAGCTTTTGACACTGTCTGTTGGGATTTTGTAATCAAGGTTTTGCAGGCACAGCAATTTCCTCCTATGTTTATCTCTTGGATTACCGAGTGTATTTCCTCTCCCAGATTTTCAGTAGCAATTAATGGAGAGTTAGCGGGGTTTTTTGAAGGAAAAAAGGGTCTTCGACAAGGTGACTCTATCTCCCCCTATTTGTTTATCATGCTGATGGAAGTTCTCTCTCTCCTGTTGAACAAAGCTGAGGCTGAAGGTAAATTCAGGCTTCATCCGCTCTGTGCAGACCCTAAATTGACCCATTTATTGTTTGCGGATGATCTCCTGGTATTCTCGGACGGATCACGTGGTTCTACGTCCGGAATTAAAGCTGTTATGAGTCAATTCAAGGACTGGTCCGGGTTAGACACCAATGAGTCCAAGACTGAAATATTTTATGGTGGGTTTACTGATATTCAAATTTCTGTGCTAAGTGATCTTTCTGGGTTCAAGCGCGGGGAGTTTCCCACTCGGTACCTTGGTCTGCCTTTAAGTCCGAAAAGGATCTCTGGAGCCACTTTGCAACCCTTTGTAGATCGAATAACGGCTAAGCTTCATTCCTGGACAGTCAAGGTTCTCTCCTTCGCCGGAAAGGTTCAAATGGTGATTTCGGTAATTTATGGTATGGTCAATTTCTGGAGCTCAGTGTTTGTTCTTCCTAAATGGTTCTATGCCAAGGTGGACTCTCTTTGCTCTGGTTTTCTTTGGAAAAACAGTACTACTTCTGCGGCTGGAGCGCGAGTTGCTTGGGAGGATATTTGTAAGCCAAAATCTGAAGGTGGTTTGGGAATTAGGAAACTCGAGGATTTTGAATTGGTTTTTAGGCTGAAGAGAGTTTGGCTTTTTTTCTCTGGGTCCGGTTCTTTGTGGGTTCCTTGGTTGCAAAGTAATAGATTTGGTGGCAGGAGTTTATGGTTAATCAACGATTCGCCTAGGTTCTCTAAGACAGTGAGAAGCATGCTTGAGTTGCGGCAGGAACTTCAGCTCTTTCTCCGCTGTAATATCGGGGATGGGAAAACGGCATTGTTCTGGTATGATTACTGGACAGACTTGGGTCCTCTTCATCTTCTTTTCGGAAGCACAGGGCCTGCAAACCTTCGTATTCCATTGAATGCAACGGTATCTCAAGCGGTGCGTAATGGTAACTGGAACTTACCACCAGCTAGGTCGGAATATGCTGAGACTTTACAAGTTATTCTGTCAACAATGAATGTTCCGTGTGAAGCTAATGGCAGCGATGTTTACTTGTGGAGAATTGGTACTGGTGGTTTTGGTCCCTCTTTTTCCTCCAGTGTTACATGGAGTAGGATTCGGGTTCCTAGTCCCCATGTTCCCTGGCATTCGTTTGTTTGGTTTAAGGAGGAAGTTCCGCGTTGTTCATTCATTACTTGGACGGTCTTTCTCCAAAGACTTCCCACTCGGGATAGATTGATTTCTTGGGGATTAAATCTTCCACCAGGTTGTGTTTTATGCTCTGCTGATGATGAAACTCATTCTCATCTATTCTTTGAATGCCCGTTTGCTGTTGCTGTTTGGAATTGTTTTTGCTGCAGGTACCTGGCGTCTCCCCCTTCCTCTGTTGCAGCAGTGGTCGACGTATGCCATCAAGTTCATGGGCCACATGCTTCTAAAGTTGTAGCTGTTCTGAAGCTACTCAATCAAGTCCTCATTTACAATCTCTGGCGCGAAAGGAATGCTCGCATTTTCACTGGCGTACTGAAGACCCCGGAGGCTCTCTACAAGGTTGTTGATCGTGCTATGCGGGATAGGCTACTGTCTTTGTCGTCCGTGTCTACCTCCTCGCCGTCTGCGTCTCTCAGTCCGCCTTCTCTGCTGGAGTTGTACTTTTGCTTTGTTTCTCCCTATAGTTAATTCCTCCTTCTTAAACTTTATGCTCTCTTTATCGTTCTCTTCTTTGCTTTGTAATAAGTTGTGGTTTCACAACACTGTAAAACTCAGAAAATGGTTATAAATCTTGACATTTAGACCAAAAAAAAAAAAAAAAAAAAAAGAATTGAATTTGGGAACTCACAATGCATCCAAAGGAAAAGGCGCCGCAAGAAGATACAGTGAAGGCAAGAACAAAAGGTCTCGTGGAGACATTTGATATTTCAGAGAGAAGTGAAGTAGATGACTTATCTGGATATGCTAATAAACCTTCTTCCGCCATTTTTAGAATCTGATATTATTAAGGAACACAATCACTCTGCTTTTTTATTTATGAGAATTTTAAGATAGAATCATTATTTATTGAATATGCGAACTTAAAAGAGAAGATATAAATCTGAGAAAATGCTCAACCTTTTTGAGTTTTGAAGTTAGTTCGTTGTCGTTGGTCTCGTGAAGCAAGAAATGCAGAGTTGAAATACATCACCCTTTTCTACTAATGGCTTGTCACTTCGATTTTGATTTTTTATGGACGTGGAGCTTTTAAAAGATTTATCTATTTCGTAAAAAACAAAAATCATAATTGGGGTCTTTAATAAATGGGACCTTTAATAAATTTTTATATGCGTTTGAGAAAAATAAAAATTGTTGATAAATATAGAGTGAACTAGGTAATGACCCGCGTCTTGCGCGGGGTGAAAAACTTATATATTGACATATTTGCAACTTAAACTCAATTATGTATTTGTAATTTGTTTTTTTCTTCATCTATGAAACCATGTTTCAAATTTAATAAAACACATAGCCAGAATATCAACAATAAATAATGTTTCTTGTTATTTTTATTTTAGTGTTTTGATGGTCATGATTTGTTAAAAATTTGATTTTTTTCATATGAAACTTCTTAACTGATTTTATGTATATAAAAACCTTAATATAATAAAACATACAATCTTATTTATCCAACCTAAAAATATGATTAAAATCTATGTTAGGCTCAAAACGAATTTAAATGGGCAGAGCCCAAACATAACTTTCTCTTTGATCTCAGTGGAGAGATGAGACTCTTTCCCTGTCGGCAAAACCAAGAAAAAAAACAAAGAAAGAATTTTACGACACAGTTAAGATCTTGCTTAGCGGATTTTCTTGACAGATAAATTCAATAGTTTATAAATGTCTCCTTGTTCTTGTCGATCTCTTTTCATGTTTCCAACAATCTTCTATCACATCTAATGAATCCTCTTATAAAATCTGCTTGTAAGATAAATTGATGATTGGCGACGTCGAGTTTTGATTGACTGCGACAAAAACTATAGAGCAATAGACAATCAAATTATTTTTATATAGTATTATTTATTATATGTTCATGTATGTATTAAAAACACTAATAATGTACATTAGAAACACACTGTAAAATTTAAGATACAAAATATTAAAAAATATAGTGGCATAACTTACATTGATACAAACTGGGCAATCTCTGGCAAATTAGGATTCAAAGACAGCATTAGAAACACTACGATCATCTGTTACATACAGTGAACTGTTAGACTCGAGCAATTTAAATGAAAACAATAAAAATATTCTTAAACAAAAACTAAAGAAGAATATACCTTTTCAAATTTTGATTATCCCGAACCTTTGAACATAGTTGATTGACTGAACACTTCTCATTTGAATTGCTTCATTCACATTATTAGCAAAATTACTCCAGCGTACCATTCGCAGATGTTATCCCTCAGAAATGAGCATTTGGTGATTCATTATTAAAACATAGTAATAGACAGATGGGTTTATTGATCATAAATTCAAAGTTTTACAAATGCTTACTCAGTGTTATGTAATTTCAAGGATATCTTTTGTGTGACTTTCCCGTTAAGAGTAATAATTTGGCCACTGAGTTTTCCAGAAAAAAAAAAAATTTGGCCAATGATATCTGTCCATAAGATTCTAACAATTTAAACACAAATATACATGATTTGTAGTTTGGTATGGTTCACAAGAGTGATTCAAAGTAAAGTTGATGAGTATTTTTTATGCTCCTGTATAAGGAATGGTTCAAAATGACTCACCAACTCTTGTTTAAGAGTAGCATGGAGGCTTGTCTCCCTGTAATAAGAAAAATATAACTATTTAAAGAAGACCTTCTCGAGAATAACAACCGAATAAATGTTATAAAAGACTTATAAGACACTTACATTATTTTCGCCTAAGACCATTTCAATGGTCAGTCCACCACCAGCTGAATATTGTCTCCAAAGCTTAATGATCTTCACTTTTATCTTCCACATGAACTTGAACAGTTTCAACTCAGTAACTAAGTTGAATGCTGTCATTTCAAAGGTTTGTATACAATAGGAATCTAATAAAAAGAGAGGCTGGAATGAAGTTTTATCGTACGTTGATCTCTGTATTTAATTATAGCTATATCGTAACTTTAAGTTTTGCAAGCCTCTAGACAATATTACGCTAGATCATGTCATTTATTGTTATTTATGGATCTATATCAACTATGGCAACAAAGAACCGTAATATATCTTTCGTGATAAAGAATTAAGCTTGCGCCAGAAGTCCCGGGCAAAATTAACTACTTGCAAAAAAATGGAAAGACAAATCGGGAAATATTCACAATCACGTCATAAATATGCCAAGCAACTTATAAACTTGCACATAGACACATTAATGTATTTACCATATAATAGAATATATAAATATTATGTTCAAACAAATATTCTTCATTTGATTTCTAAAAAACTTGAATAACAATTTATTCCCTTTTCTCGGTCATAGACCCATAAGAAATCTCTTCATTTCGAAAATACATCACCTATTTGAACCGAAAAATTATATGGACTCCCGTACAATAACCTAAATGACATTATCCATCATAAATCGCTTTTGTAATACATGAAACTAAACAAAAGAATTATAACAAAGCTGTTTATCTACTATGCAAGTGTAGAACCGATTTGAAAAAAGGAATTTGTTTTTGGTTAACAATTGTATGATCCATCATAGATCCCTTGATAAATAAAACTAAGATTAACAATTGATTTGAATCCGTATTGAGAATTGATTAAAATGGTTACAGTACCACATGGTTAGTGTATTTTGTTTATCTTACAGTCAGTTTTCTTCGTGCAGTTTCGTTGTTAACTAAAAAAATGTTAATCACAAAGCTGTTTCTTTATAATAAAATGATGATGATTGATTTTCTAGTAAACAAATTGTGTTAATCAGAAAGATGTTTATCTACAATACATATGTGTAGAACCGATTTGAATAAAAAATTATTTTAAACGTTCGGTTAGAATGAGTGAACTACAAATGGTACGACGTCTAACCGTAAATGTCAACTTATAATTATAAAGAATATACACTACTAAATTAATACACTGATACAACAATAATACACTAATAATGTTTCTCTAGCAATGTAAGTCCATTTAAATATGGGTTGTGAGAAGAATTGTAGTGATAACACATCAGCATTAAATTTTAAGTTACAACTTAAAATTGTTCCTCAAATAATATATAGGGGATTAGCTTAAGCTGATGAAGTTACTATAGTACATATGATGGGACAAAGTTCGGTGATATCTACTTTTCCTTTTATTTGCGAAAAGGTATTGGTATATACCTTTCTCCTTATTGATTAATGTTTTTTTTTTTGAACTGATATTATAGTTTTTGTTAAACTAATCATCAATTTAATTAGTAGTGTATAAAATAATATTCTACATTCTTTCATTAAATAAAAGTTACCTTATTGATTAATGTTTGGGAGGCAGTATATGTTACTAATTACTACGCATACATTCTGGAAAAGAACTCATACTACCCAAGCTAGGAGGCTGGAGCATATGCTAATCCAAGCATGCTAAAATAGTTTGGCTAGCTTAGCTTCAACGGATGTTGGACGGCTGGGATAAATCGAAACTAATATCAAAGCTTCTCAAAGACTATTTTTCTAGTTAACTGCACTAATGATAAACATCTCTAAAATAATTATGATATAAGTAATTTCATTCATTAGAACAAAAAAAAAAAAAGAGTTTCATTCATTAGGTACCTAGCCGCAACAATGGATCAGAATCACAACTATACGACCATTCATTTTAGTTTCACAGATCAATATATTTTAAGTACCCTTGTCGCAAAGCTATACAACACTTAGATTGGAATTAAAAAAAGTTGGAATTAATTACGAAAAGAGTAACCACGTACTGTGGAATTAAATTTTATGGTGGTTTTTTTTTAAGAAAAGATTATGTAGAATTTAAATTTATAAAAAAAAAATTGAGATAACTATGAGATAATTTTTTTTTAAGGAATAAAATGATAAATAACAAAATATATAAGAATTATAAATATGATGTGTAATTGTAAAGACCGAAATGTAAATAAAATATGAAATTTCAAATTTGAAATTTTGAATAATGACACTCTATATTTGAAGTTTTACTCTTTAAAACCTCAAATTTGAAGTATCAGAATTTTTTTGGAGAATCAAAAACTTCATATTTGAAGTTATAGAATACTTTTTGGAGATGCTTTTATAATTTACCGTTACATCCTATATAAATAGAATATAAAAAACAAAATTAAAGTCAGCCTTTATTCAAATAGTACAGGAAGTAAAAAGATAAAATTTATTTTCACTTAACTAATGCTAATTAGCAGATAAAGTAACAGTAGAAATACTTTTTCACAAAAATTTATGGCTATTAATGCTATAAATCGCACCCTTTCTCGATCAAGATGGATAAAAGAACGTCCTATAACCGAGCCATCATAAATCGTCTGGTTGCTCTGTTGTTGAAGAAATTACTGAATCATCGGATTGTTATTAGCAGTAGCAATAAGTCTCGCTTCTTCTTGATGATTAATATCATTGATGATTTCCATATTGTTATCATCAGAAGAAGATGATGATGTTGAACCAAGCAAATTCAGTGTATTTCTGAAATTTAAATTCATTTTAGAAAAAAAAATTTAGAAAGACATGGAACTATGTATCAAGAAACTACAGAGGTTATAAAAATGTTTTTTATTATTCAAAGTAGGAGGCGTTGCCTTCTTATAAAACATATACAACGACATTAGTCTGTAAACCTATTTACATTCGAAGCGGGCCTCGTATAATGTCTACTAAGGCCTAATACCCCCTCTCAAGGTGGAGTGTGAAGGTTACAAACACCCACCTTGACCAAAAAATCTTCAAATTCCCGACGTCCCAATGCTTTAGTCATGATGTCAGCTAGCTGCGATTTTGTGGAGACGTGATGTGTAGTAATGAGACCTTTGATAATCTCGTCACAGATGAAGTGACAGTCCATACCCACCTGCTTCGTTCTAGCGTGATAAACCGGATTAGCTGCAAGGTTGATGGCAGACAAGCTATCAGAGTAAAGTGGAACTGGTCCGGAGCATTCAATACCAAAAGCAGGAAGTAGTTCACGTATCCAGATGATCTCGCAAACAGTGTC